CGTACAGTTTCCTATTAGCTCTGCAGGAAAGAAGCATAATTAAACAAATAAGACATAATAATATATCGAGGTGACGGAAATGGAGTAAGAGTACAGAAGGAAAAGGTATAAAAAGCAAAAGGTAATAATGAACAAGAAATGCGGTTTCTTGTGAACTAGATAAGTAGCGAAGCTGACCGTTGCGTGAGTCGTCGGTGCCACCGTAATCGTATCTTGCTGTAGTCGCAGAGCGATAGTTTCGTTACTGGGTGTAAGGTAACTCAAGTGGATCGTAGCGGTTTCATTCTCATTCGGATTGATGATGTCGAAGGTAAACGTAGAAAGCTGTGCCATTTCTTTGACAAAAGGAAAGAGGGTTACAAAATCGGTCCCGTAACTGTCCGGTCCCGGCCTTGTCGTTTGTACAATACCAAATGATAGCACTAAAATAAGCTGAATAAAATTGTATTCGTTCGTTGTAAGCACATAAAATTGTGACCTCACAACAAATAACCTGGCAAGTGTCCTGTAGCGAACGTGGAACCAAGAAGGATGACATATATGACCGTAGGCTCGGCCCTCAGATATGTATGCGTAATTGCTCGAAAAATTATGCCTTTAAATTTGAACTTCCTAGCTTTCGCAGAGTCTTGAAATGGATTATATGGGCAGGCACGCATACACCACAAAGTGCACACATATACTCACACACACATACCCAAAAGCTCGTTATAATCCATCTTAGCTACCTTAATTTTGTTACCACACTCGTCGTACTGATGAGGTCCAATTGTGGTAATAGTAAGAAATGTATACGACTTAATGAACTGAAAGATTTCTTATCAGTTTATAAAATTATTAAAATTTTTCCCCTTTTTATGCGTTTTTTGCAGCCATCCAACGCAAAAGCCCATATTGTCAAGCGGTTGTCTGTGTGTGTGTGTGTGTCTGTGTATGTATACGTGTCTGTGTGTACGTCTATAACGAGTTTTCATCTCGAGATCCACAAAAGCTTCAAGGCTGAAAATTTGGTGAATTAATCTACACATCCGTGCTCGTTTCTTTAAAATGGAAGCTCAGGTCCGCGTGGTTCTCACTTGAAGGCACGTGAAAATTTTTTTGGCGGGAAAGCGTTTTCGGGAACGGCTCATGCTGGGGGGCTGGAACTTCACAGAGTTGTTCCCTGGCCCCGTGTAATTCAAAGATTTCAAATTCAGCCTTCACGCACCTCCAGGTCTCATGCATGTACACGTCAAAGTTTAAACTGGCATCATGCCAATTCCAGATTTAGGCTGACCAAAAAGCTGCAGAGAGCTGCAACTTTTTAGCTTTACTTGTTGCCCGCCGTTGTATCCGTGAAAGTAAATTACTTGTCAGCTCTTCTGCATCTCACGTACAAACACGTGAAAATTTCACTCATGCGCTTTTGCAACTTCAGAATTGAACCAGCCAGAGAGCCTGAACTTTCTGAGCATGACTGACGGTGGCCTTTGACTAGATGCACACAAAGCGACTTACACATCACTTTCGCGTATCACATACGTTTCACGTGTACACACGCGAAATTTGATGTAACTTCGCAACCAGAGCAGCTGGAGTGCTGAAACTTTCTGAGCGACATCCAGGAGCATGTTTGAACAACCGTGGGCAAAACCCAGGCTGGAACGCACCAG